GATTTTTGCATCTAACTTCATGAAAAATATCAGTCTGTAGTTTTCTTTCTTTTTTTTTTTTTAGTACTGACCTTGTCTTTATTGTCAGGGTAATTAGTAACTTCATAAAATGAGAAATGTTCCATTCTCTTCCATTTTCTGAAAAAGAACAGGTTAATTTGTTATTTATTTGTTTAGTAGAATTCTATATTAAAATAATCTAGGACTGGAAATTTTTGACAGCTTTTTAATTACAAGCTTAATTTTTAAATGATTATAATTCAATCTTTCTATTTCATCTTGATAAAATTTTTGTGATTGAATATACACACATTATATCTAAAATATAAGGAGGGATTTTTCTGAAACATGTATTCAGATAAGAAACATGTATCTATTCTATAATAACCAGTTTTTATAAGAGTATAAGTCTAAAAGATAGATCATAGAAATGGATAATAAATGGAAAACCAGAGTGGAATTTCAGATGGCGGTAAGTGTGTGGAGGGTGTGGGAATAGGGGACATGAGAGAAGGAGAGGACAGAAATTTAGTATAGCCACTTCTCTGCTTTGTAAATATTTTATAGCATATGGCTTCTGAATAATTGGACTGTATAGCACAATGTCTAGCTTCTTATTGTTCTTGTTAAAACCATGTAGGCATGTGTCTTGCAGTTCAGTGACTTTTAAATATCTAACCAAGAACACAGTCTGACATCTGTGAAAATAAAACATAACCTAGTCAATGTGGATATCTGTATACTCCATGCACATTTTATTCATGACTTGCACAGTACAGAAGATTAGTGTTTTTAATGCCATCCAATCAACGGATTAATTTATTTGCTAAAATAAATTTCCAACTTATAGTACCTTGCAAAACATAATAAAATGTTTAATGATTTTTTTCTTTTTTAACTGTTTTTTAAAATGCTGGGTTTTGGGGGGGTTGGGGAGGACTAAGAAATGCATTTCTATCCAGACATGAAGGAATAAACAATAAAACAATATTAGTGGTTTCTGAAAGGGTTCTATAGAATACATTCCACTGTATGTTATTTAGTGTTATAGCAAAGCATGGAAAAGAGAGCATATTTGCTGAATAAGTTTAAGAAATTCTGCTTTAAAACATACAAAAACACTACAAGAAGAGTGTATATATACAGAAGAGAAATTCAAAAAATTATTGACCGGTGTACATTCCCCCATCCCTGAGGCATTTTGGTGTCTAATGTTCAGAACGCATTTGAGAAATTTTGTAATAGTATATTACTTCATTTAGTTAGCTTTTTTCATTACCTACAATTTGAAATGTGCTTATGGATTTGGTAAATCCAGTGTGGATCCTGCTCTCAAGTTGTTATGATTTAGAATATGGATAATATAGCAAGATGAAAGCACTGAGTTGTGCCGTGCCATTACTTAAAAGACTTCTCGAATTCTTTGGTACAAATAATTATAGTAGGTGACAAATTTATGACATTTATCACTACCATATTTTTTCAAATTTAATTCTCCTAAAATCCTGTTTTGTAATAAAAGATATGTAATGATAAGTGTGAATATTTAAAGCATAAAATGGAAAAGATATTAAAACAACTGCAATCTCATTTCTAGAGAATTGTTATCATGTTACTGGGTTTTTTTTTTTGTATAAATTTGCTACCATCTGAAATTATCTTTTTTCATTTATTTAACTTCTTTAATTTTCACTTTGTAAGTGCATGGACTTTGTCTTGTTTAGTACTATATTTTCAACCCTTAGCATTAGTGTTTGTCATATAATAAATTCTCAGTAAATAAATGTTGAATTAAAAGATGATTCTTACTGACTTTGCAGTAGAATAAATGAAAACGTACTTACTCAGATAACCACAGTGATTTGATATAGGGATAACAATGAGTTATATTTTGAAAATATCTCCCATTTTTGTGGTGAGAACATCTAAGGTCTACACTCTTACCAAATTTCAAGCATAAAATATATTATTGTTAATTAACTAGATTATGGTAATTGTTTCTCAGTGTATACAGATATCAATGTATCACAGTACACACCAAAAATATGTATAGTTTTTGTGTTAATTATACCTCAATAAAGCTGGATAAAAATTTTTAGAAAAGGAAATATCTTCTTTACTATTTAAGAATTAATTATCTAAATTAATTAGTTTAAGGGAATCTTTCTAGGTGGCATATATTCTCAATTCCCTGTTTCCCAGTTTTTCTGATAACACGTGAAATATGGGGCAGAGATATCTAAATTCATTTACTAGGTTGTGTTATAAGCCACAAACCAAGCCATATGGTGTAGACTGCGTTTAAATAATGAATAACACTAAATGACCACAATCTGCAAAGCTCATGTTGCTCCCCTATTACCCAGGACTATACATTTCTTCTCTGGTGGCAAAGGGGTGTGGTGGTGCAAGTGCTTTTTAAGTTCAGTGTCTTCACTTATCTAAATTTCCCCTTCATATGCTGAAGCGTCAAAGTTGTCAGGCATATCCTCTAAGGCCCATCCCTGTAGACTGCCATTATTTGCTCCACCCCATGCATGTTATGTCTGCAGCTGTACTTTCTTTGGTTTTACCCTCCTAGATTCCTAAAGGTGAATTCAAGTTGCAAATTACAGTTGCACAGAAGCTATTATTTATCTTTGCTATACTCATATTGCTGAAATTATCTTTGATGTCCCTGGAAAAGAGGAGAAGTTTATCCTTTTTATTGCCTGTTTCATCCTCTTTCACTTTTAAAATGATCTTGTGGAGTTACTTCCCATTTATTGGATCTTTTAAGGGTCTATGTCCAAACTGTATGTTTCACTGTATTACAATTATCCATGTATTACAGTCTCATTGCATTTGAAAATGTGTGCAGCTTGTCAAAAATAATTTAAACTTTTCTTCATAGATTATATATGCTCATCAGATCAGGGAATTGAACAGAACCAAATTGTAAATCAAAATCTGGCATGAAACATGTTACTTTATTGAAAATACTTGAACAAAACCCAAATATTTTTTTCACTGAATTGCTATTTGAGCCATACCAACCAACAAACAAGAGTAAACATAACTGGATATTTTCTGAAAGTAAATGAGATAAAATTTTAAAACATGAGTCTTAAAATTATACAGGTGTATTATATATCTTTAGTTACTAAATTCGGTCATGAAAAAATCAGCTGGCTGGACCAATAAACAGTCACTCTTATGGAAAAAGAAAATAAGGGATTAAAAGGAAAAAGTTAAAGAAAATGCATTCCAAACCAAGAATAGAAATGAAAAATATATGGGATGGAGTCCAATTTGTTCATGTCAGAAGCCAACATTTTATACACCATTGAACATAATGATACAAAGGTGAATTTAAATTTTAATGGTCAGGCGGTTATCCTCTAAAAGTAGTGGCTACCTCCCAAACATCCTAGGAAAGGTGAATTTTCAGGGGTAAGTGGGGTTGGTGTTGGATAGAGGGTCCTTATATCACCATGCATGCACCTCACCACTGATTACGTGTACAATTACAGATTTTCCATTTTCTTCTACTAGTTCCCTAGCATGATTGACTGCTAAGCACTGAGGCAGGCGGTTATCCTCTAAAAGTAGTGGCTACCTCCCAAACATCCTAGGAAAGGTGAGTTTTCAGGGGTAAGTGGGGTTGGTGTTGGATAGAGGGTCCTTATATCACCATGCATGCACCTCACCACTGATTACGTGTATAATTACAGATTTTCCATTTTCTTCTACTAGTTCCCTAGCATGATTGACTGCTAAGCACTGAGAGAACAATTGTTAGCTACAAACTAATAAATCAGTTATCTATTTTGCCTTCTGAAGAATAAAAGTTTGAGCTTTGAAAAATGGTAAAGACATGCCATATGCTGGTTATTAGTAAAACTTACTCAAAAAATCTCCTTCACTACATCTTGCTTTTGAGATTCTTTTATTGTGATTTTATATCACACATTTAGAATTTCAATAGTTAGATATATAGTGGAAGTATATGTGGGTAGTGTTCATTTATAGAATGAAATCAGAAAAATTGCTTTGTTGGAAATCTTCAAAATATTATAAAGCAAGCGTAACTTCATATATTAATCATGAACAATATCTGGGGCATGGTTTCAATATTTTCTTTAAGTGACTTGTTTTAATGGGATTATGAAATAGTTTCTTTGTGGCTAAATATGTGAAGGCTAAATACATATTCAAAATATAATCTGTTTTCTGCCCATACATTGGATCAGGCCTCTAATGCGTTATAGTCATATATATTATAATGAAAGTAATCATAAAAATTGATAGTGTTATGAAATTACATAAAATAGTGCTTGTTCTATGAAAATAAATTTTGATATTTGCCACCCAGTGTGAAACATTGAAAATATGTTGGGTGGGTAGCAGGAAGTATAAGAAAATAATTGGACCATCTCACTCAGAAAATAAGGATATCAATTTCTTTGAAAACTTCCTATTTTGTAACTATATTGTTTCAATACATACATGGGGAACACAATGACGAGCAACATCAGCTCAATATCTATTAGATTTATTATTATCAATGCAGTAAATAGTATTATGAGTGCAATAAATAAATTTGGGTGAATAAAAAACCATTTGCAGTTGGAGTTTTGCAGTTGACTTTATTAATATATGCCACCTAATTGGAGTTTGTAATAGGACTGTTTGGAATGTGTTTAGAATAGGACTATTCTGATTGTCTTTTTAGTGCCTAAAATAATGATTTAATTTCTGCTTAAAATGTTGACAATGTCATGAATGTTGTTTTCAGGTAGATACTTTCTTGGTCCCAATTCAGAGACTGAATGTTTACTGCTGAAAAGCTTTTTAAATGTTCTTGTTGTTGTTTTCATAATTCAGGTTATCTGGAATGAATATACCACCACCAATTATCAGCAACAAAAACTGCTGAATGTTTACTGCTGAAAAGCTTTTTAAATGTTCTTGTTGTTGTTTTTCATAATTCAGGTTATCTGGAATGAATATACCACCACCAATTATCAGCAACAAAAACTGGCTCAGACTGCATTTTGTTACAGACAGCAATCACCGATTTCGTGGATTTAGTGCTCCATATCAAGGTATATTTAATACATACTTCTGCCTCTTTTGATGTATAAAATGATTTTGGTATATAGAAATGCATTTTTTATTGAAGAAAAATAGCTTTAGCATTTATAAATGGTAATTTGAATAGAAAATAATGGTCATTCTCTTGATAAGGCAATAATGCAATCATAACCAAATTACAGTATTAAAGTTAGTTGATTTTTATAGCACAGTATTCAGTATAAAGAATATTATGACTTCTAGAAGATGGCATGTAACATATGTAATATTTAGCTTTAATAAAGTGCTTTAGCAATTGGACATGCTACCTAAAGCTGTACCACAAAACACTGCAGAAAACCTTCAGTTGTTAATAGGATTTTCTTCAATTGAGATCCATTTCCATATGCAGTGTATTTGTTATTGCTAGTTTAATTAACCTTGTTAGGATTATTATCTACCAATTTTATTAATGAGCATAATTTTATAATTTTATAATTTTAAATAAGTAGGATATAATACTTGATGCATTAATTTGAAAACACTCTTTGGGACAAGATTATTATGAAGATGAAGTGCTAATGAAAATATAGCTTCTACAATGATCATATTTTCAGACTACTTAAGTAAATATTCATTTCATTCTCAGTAGTGTATCAGCTACTGTTCAGGGAATAGTGAGCATTGATTGCCACAGTTACATTTTTCCATTTATCTATTTTTTTTTAATACTTTCCTCTTTAGTAGTATTGGGTCCTAACCACTTTGCAGATTTAATATGGTGACTTTATGCAGCTTATATTTAGTACCCAAAATAGCATTACAACCATATGTTGTATTCAGGAATACAAATTTCAACAATTAGTACATGTTTTTTAGACCAGTAACCTCTCTGCAGTGGTTCTATCAGTAAGATTTATCTAGATAACAGCAACAGATTAATTTTTTTTTAATACTTTCCTCTTTAGTAGTATTGGGTCCTAACCACTTTGCAGATTTAATATGGTGACTTTATACGGCTTATATTTAGTATCCAAAATAGCATTACAACCATATGTTGTATTCAGGAATACAAATTTCAACAATTAGTACATGTTTTTAGACCAGTAACCTCTCTGCAGTGGTTCTATCAGTAAGATTTATCTAGATAACAGCAACAGATTAATATGTGACTTTTAATTTGACTTTCATAATAGTACATTGGGTATCACCATAATAAAAATCCTTAGGAGAGTAACTTGAAATAGTGGATTTTAGATAAAATCCACTTTAGAAAATGTACAATAATTTCTATATGTAATATAGTAAATCGAAATGGAAACATGAATGCAAATATGCTTTTAAAGCTTTTTAAAAAAATTATTAACATTTCTAATAATAAAAAACTATCCATCATAAAACACTATATTTTAAAATTAAAAAGTAAATATCCATAGAAAAAAATATTTTTATATATTTTATTAAAAATAGCTTTCTAAGCATGGAAATTTGAATTTTACCAATTTAAGCCAGTGTCACTAAATTTTAAGAAATAGGGAACTATTTTTGTTAAAAAGAAATAATTATTGAGAAACTTCTTTATCCCTAGGCAGACCCCTTGCCTTGTGGAGTTTATCAGCATGAGTTATATTTATGATTCCAAGGTTGGGGTAGGTGAGTGTAACATTAAAAACAACAAAAAAATTGGTTCAAATACTTTAGGTGTACTTTACTATCATGAGAGTGTTGGACATGAACAAATATGAGCAGGTTACTTTTCTGGTAGATACTGAATGGAGCATTGTTAGTACTACTCAATAAGTATTCAATGAATAAACTTTTGCCATATTAAAGTAAGTTTTATTTAATTTTCAGTAAGTATACTCTGGGGAAATTCACAAACAGTATATTTGAATACTTACATCAAAATATCTTTTTTTGTACATAGACAAACTTCATTATTTAAAGCTTATGAAGTAAACTATTTTAACTTAATGAATTGTGGGAAAATAGAAATTTAAGTTTCGTTGGTGCATAATGTTTAAGATTAATTTCTAATATTATATTTTGTTTTCTTTCCTTTTCATTTCAATATTATGTATTTCACCTTTCTCTGTTTCCTATGATTCTAAATAATTACTTTCACCTGAAAATTCTTTTATAAAAAAATTTTGTTGTGGGGCAAAAATAGAAAAAAATATTTACTTCTTTCTATATAGACTTGTCTGGTTTATGAGATTCATCCTCTTGATTAGTATAATGTCTACTCAAATAGCAGAGACAATCAAAAGGTTTTTAATAGATTGTCTAAATAATCATCAGTCTATCTAAAGCAGCCATTAAAATCTTCATAATAGCATTTCTTCTGTGTTAATGAATTTTTCAGTCAAGCCAATGTAAAATTAAAGGCCTTTTATGATATTAATCAGTAATGATATTAGAGTTAAATTCTTCAATAAATAACTATGTTTATTTTTGAATTTCTAATTTGCAAACTCTACAAATTTTATTTAAAATCTAACTCAATAATACTGGAAAAAAATAAATGTAAAGAGAGAGTTTTAGATATTGCAATATTGAAAATAAAAATTTTGACTATATTTTTTAAAAATACTAGCTTTTTTTTTATTTTTTTTATTTTTTTCCTTTTTTGTCTTTTTTCGTGTCCGGCAACGGATCGCAACCCTCAGTGTCGCGCCGTACCGGACCGGGACCGGCCACGGGATCGCAACCCTCGGTGTTGCTCCCACACCTCGCTCAGCCAGTGAGCGGGAACCGGTCTGTATGTGGGATCCGAACCCTCGGTGGGAGCGCCACCACGCTCCTAAGCGGCGCACTGTAGCATGCGCCACCAGGCCGGCCCTAAAAATACTAGCTTTTATAAAAATTCAATTTCTTAAAATTTACTTGCCAATCTTCTTTTAAATATTAATTTATTTTTTTTGTTGAAGCATAATTAATTATACAGCATTGACTACCATCACCTGTGTATATGTGATGATTGAATCAATATTATTAGCACATTCATTGTTACAAATTGTAATTATTCTTTGTGCCCCTTACCCAATCTCTCCCTAACCCTCCTCTCCCTCCCCTTCTCCCACCTCTAGTAACCACAGATTATCTACCGTCCAAAATTCTTTTCATAAGTTGTAGATGTGTTTGACAGTAAGCTGGCTAATTATTATTTCATTTTAAATTTACCTGAAATAGAAATTCCACTGTGACACACACCCTACTAAACTGAGCAAAGTATTCTGCATCAGAAACAGTGCTATTGATTTCCATTCCTCTGGGGAAATCATCAAATCGAAGGTATACCTGTTTTCCAATGTTCATTGCAGCACTATTTACAATAGCTAAGAGTTGGAACCAGCTCAAATGTCCATCATCGGATGAGTGGATACGGAAAATGCGGTGTATCTACACAATGGAATACCACTCTGCTATAAAAAAGAATGAAATACTGCCATTTGCAACAACTTGATGGACCTAGAGAGAATTATATTAAGTGAAATGAGTTAGGCACAGAAAGAGAAATATCACATGTTCTCACTTATTTGTGGGAGCTAAAAATAAATAAATAAATGCACAAACAACCTGGGGGTGGGGAGGAAAGAAGACACAACAATCACAAATCCTTGAAGTTGGTATGACAAGCAAACAGAAAGGAGATTGTTGGGAGGGAGAGGGGGAGGCAGGAGGGAGGGAGGTTTTGGCAATGGCCACAGTAGTCAACCACATTGTATACTGACAAATTAAAATTTAAAAAATAGAAAATATATTTAAGTTATTAGATAAATGCATTGTGATTGTTAGCCTTAATTGGAAATAATGAGTAAAGCATATTGTTAGAGTTAAAAAAAAAAAATTAAAGAAACAACGCTAGTGATTCATTTTCACTTAACTCTAGTCAAATGTAAAAATTCTAGTAAAACATTTTATTTTGCCAAACATTTTAACATTTATGAATTAAAAATTAAGCCATGTGACTACATTTAGAGTTGCAATATGTAAAATGAGGTTTTAGAAATAAAGAATAATATTAGGAATAATATTGATTATTTCTTTTATTTTGCCTAGTTTTTTTATAGTCCATTTCATTCTGGTTATGAGTTAATAATATGTACTAACACTGAGATTACCCAAATTATTGGTTAACATTATTCACGAGGAAAGGGTAGTTGTGGAAATCCTAAATTCAGATTCTGATACATTCTGGTTATGAGTTAATAATATGTACTAACACTGAGATTACCCAAATAATTGGTTAACATTATTCACGAGGAAAGGGTAGTTGTGGAAATCCTAAATTCAGATTCTGATAAAGAGACTCAGTTAAAATCAGGTAATAATGGGTGTTGGGGGAAAGTATGCAGGAAAGTGTAAAGAAAAGGAGTGAATGTACTTAAGAAATAGTCACAGAATTCAGCATTTTAAAGATTAGGTAGAGATTCTCTTATAAAATTTTCAATATTTTTTAAGGAATTGAATCAATGTCCTTAGCGTTGATATGAGAGTGACTCCCAGATATAATCAAAAGGAAAATATCATGATACTTTGTTTAAAAAAACAACAAAACTGTAATACTTACATTTGCTAAGTGTTCTTTCTAAAATTTTTTAAATTCTGTATTTTTATGGTATGCAATTTGTTGTTTCAATACATGCACATATTGCATAATAATCCAATTAGAATAGTTAGCTTATATATCACCTAAACATTTACCATTTCTTTATGGTTATAACACTCAAGGTCCTCCTTTCTGGATATCTTGAAATATGCAATATTCAATAAATAAAAATGCAATAAATATGCACATTTATCATGGATCAGTTAAAAAAAAAATAAATGAAAAGGCAGTAGAATAGTGGTTACCAGAGGCTGGCAAGGGGAGGGGAAAAGAGGGAGATGGGGAGAGACTGGTAAAAGGATACAAAGTTACAAAGTTACAGTTAGATAGGAAGAATGAGTCTGGTGTGCTAGAGTGACTTTACGGAGTATGATGTGATATTTGGGTACATTTATATAATGTGCAATATCAGGGTATTTA